TAGTCCATCTACACAAGTGATTTGGGCAGTAGTCCATCTATACAACTGATCTTGGCAGTAAAACATATGCTATGATGTTTGTTATCACTCAACAAAATAAGGCAGACATAAATTTATTATTTTGGTAGCATTAATTTTATTGACATTTAAAAAAAAAAACTCAGGCCATTGTAATGTCATGTTCTCCATACATACAAAGTTACAGATTCTTAGAACAGGAAGGTTTTGACAAAAAGGAAGAATGTTTGCTAAGCATTTAACATTACTTCTTATCTGCTTCACAAAATGTATAAACATGTTAGAGTGATCTTTTAGGGTCGGAATACATCATGCTTGAAGTAAATTCCACACCATCAACCACCTTTTTGTCAACAAACTCAACGTCAACATCTAAATGTCAACAAATTCAATATCAACATTGAAATACAAGGGCCTTATATTAGTGGTCACCTGAGTTATAGTATAGGTACTGGTAGCTCAATTTCATTGTTGAGATGTGATGTGGAAATCAACATGTAAATAAAGTGAAATTTAATACTTGTCATGTCACCAAACGATGAGAACTTGAAAAAAACTATTCAAATAAATTATTTTACTATTGAGAAATATAATATCTATAGTTATTTAGACAATTTTCCTCTTTGGCCAACCACTGGGATAGGTCAGGATCTTAGTTTCATTATAACTATTCCAACCAAGTTTGAATTATTTCTTGCTGAAAATGGACAAGATATACCATGGTCAGAAGTGTTATTTCCCTATATAAACTATAGTAAATAAGACCCTCTCCCACAGGGAGAGCAGATGACCTGGGAGATAATGACATTTACAATTAAGATTTTTTTAACTTTTAACCATTTTCCCCCATTAACCATTTTCCAACAATTCCAGCCCCTGGGGATGGGGCAGTATATTATATTCTCATACCGTCTAATTGCCATCTGGCATCATAATCATTCCAATCAAGTTTGAATAATTTCCTACTCAAGTACTGAAAATTGACAAAATATACCCCAAAAGTGTCAGTATCCTATATAAACTAAAGTCTACTTTACCCCTTCCCCAAGCGAGAATGGATGGCCCGGGGATAATGAAATTTACAATTTAAATAAAGCCCCCAATGATCTTTTGATCCATGCAGAGAAATTGACTGTAGTACCTTTGAGTCTTGAGAAGAAGATTTTTTTAAATATTGGTTAATTTTCCTTTGGGGCCACTTTTCAACAATTACAACATCAACATACCAATGTCAACATCTCAGGTAAAAGAGGCCCAGAGAGCCTGTATCGCTCACCTGTATCTGTATGCCTAGCAAAGGTATATATGGCTATGGGATGGGGATCTCAACTGTTTCAAAGTTTTGACAGAAGAATTATATCCCTAGGGGTTTAACCAGACCCCGGAGTCAATAATAATATCATGACTGTGTTCGTCTCAAATTGATGATCAGCAATAGAATATATGGTTATGGGGTGGGGATCTCAACTGTTTCAAAGTAATGACACAGAAATCAAGTCCCTATGGGTGGGGCCAGACCCCAGGGTTAATTATTCTATCATGATTGTGTTTGTCTCTTGATACCCTGCAAATGTATACATGGTTATAGCTAGGGTGGGGATCTCAATAATGTCAAAGTTAAAATTCCTTCTTGCTCAATCCGTCAGTCCCAGAGGTCAGCCCTTCAACTGGTACAATTTCTCAACCACCAAAGAATGCTTCAAACCAAATGTGGTTGATAATCATCACTTTGTCCAGAAAAGAAGTTGCTTTAGACTATATGGTCAAATTACCGTTTTTGGCCCCGCCCCTCAGCATCCAAGGAGGTTATATCTTCAATTTATGCAAAATTGAGTCCCCTTTGCCTAAGGGTGCTCTACACCAAATTTGGGTCAAATCCCTCTGTTTATACATACATGAATTCCCCTTACTGAAGGATTTTCTAGACAAAATTTGGTTCAAACCCCTCTTTCGACCAGAAGAAGGAAGATTTTAAACATTTACCCCTATGTTCTCCCTTATTCACCGAGCCCCTCTGCCCCCTGAATAGCCATACCCTCTGTTTATACAAAATTGAGTTCCCCTTGCTCAAGGATGATTTAGACAAAAAAATTGTTAAAATCCCTCCATTTGTACAGAAGAAGAAATTTAAAGATTTTCTTAAGTTTCCCTTATTGGGCCCCCAGGGGGACCACTCCCTCTGTTTAGGAGACAGGGTAGTCTAGTGGTAGGACGCCACGCTCGTGACCGAAGGGTTGCGGGTTCGAGTCACGGCACAACACTGTGTTGTATCTTTGAGCAAGATACTTTACTCCACTCGTTCTAGTGTACTCAGCTGTAAATGAGTATGTGTTTGGGTAACTGCTAGAATTGTAGAATGCTAGCTGTGAGCGTGAAATGGCAGCACCGGCTGTATCCTTCCCAGGGAGTTAAGAAAGATGTTGGCGGCTGGTTGCGAAGGCCCTATAAACACAGATAATAATTTGTGAATCGCTTTGAGACGACCTACAAACTAGGTTGTGATAAAGCAGTATATAAGAACCTCCAATTATTATTATTATTATTTAAAGTAAATTCCCCTTGCCAAAGGATGTTCTAGACTAAATATGGTTTCAAATTCCTCAATTTGTACAGAAGGAGAATAAATTTAAATGATTTACCTCAATTTCAGCTATAACCCCTCAGCCCCCGAGGGGAGGGGGCAATACCTTCCATTTAACAAAATTGAATCCCCTTTAGCTGAGGATACTCCAGGCCAACTTTAGTTAAAATCTACTAAGGTGTTCAGGACTGGCAGCTTTTAAAAGGAAAAGTTGACAGATGGACAGATGGACGACAGATGCCAGGCCATGGCATAAGCTCACTTGCTCTTTGGACAGGTGAGCTGAAAAATGATAAACAATTCTGAGATACCAAAACCTGAGCTGCAGGTACACTATCTGTATGGGTTGTGTATAGACTACTGATCATTGAAACTTTCCAAGTGTTGATCCTTACTTCAGGAGGAGATTAATAGAATCTTCCCCTACCTTGAGGGTGTGACAGAGAAATCTTCAACCTGAGGGAGGATATTCTTGATTGTCTTACCCGAGGCTTTGCCATTTCTCTGTCACACCCTTAAGGTAGGGGATGATTGTTTTTCTCCAATCCTGTTTCACTCACAAATCAGGCAATAAGCGGTCATTGCATGAAATATAAACGTTTTTTCATGTTTTCCAGCAAATCCAAAGTTGTCAAGAGTCAAGAGGCTTTATTTATTGTCGCATATACATGTAACATAATAACATTAGCACTGTAGTGCTATTCTTGCGTCATATGGTCTGCTACTGTTGATGTGACAGCAATGCATTGATGACATGACGTCATACTATTATTATGACTTAGATCACACCATTCTGCATGAGGCTATCTCCCCTAGGGGGTGACAAGCTGATCTTTTCCAGCCTAAAAGGGTGGGAGAAACTGTGATCACCTTCAGATAATGTGTTTATAGTTGTCTATTGAATCCAATGAAGTAAAAACATTTTCTATAAGAAAGTGAAGTTATCAGAGTTTGAAGTTGCTACAATGAGTTTCAAACAGGGAAGGGACCATAGGTGTATGGCAATAAGAATGTAAACACACTGGGCTATGGGAGCCACAACTATAAAAACCTAGCGATTCAACACCTCTTCCTGCATTGATTAATGTCGGTTATTCCACAGGGTTCTCTCCTGAGCTATTTTCCTCTAATGAAAGTTTGTAGTTGGAGCACTGCTGAAGGGACATAGTAGCAAGTGTGGCCGCTTTAGGAAGGACACGCTCATCCTCAATCAACTGCTCCAACAGGGAGAGACCACCCTCCAGTTCCAGCATTGGGCAGTATCGGTCAGCTGTAAACAGTGATACAGAGGTAACCTGTATTCCTAACAACATAGTCTTAGTAACAAGCTTTCTGATTGGCTCATAACTGCACAAACATATGATCTACAAAACTTTGCTATTTTTACGTAGTTGTATTCTGTAGTTTTAAGAGGACATGTTTCACAGCATTTCTTCAGGTTCTCCAGGATAATAAGAGATGATTAATTAAGACCTGATTAATTGTTAATTGTGCAAGTATTATTGGCATTTTTTTACCAAAAAAAGTTGGCATTGTCTTAAGGTGGACTTTTGCAAGCCAAGTGGGCCAGATCTGGTCCAAATTATAGGATGGGGACCAGACTTGGTCCTTAATGCCTTCAGAGGGATCAAATGGGAAATATTGGGGTTGATCCTTTAAAACGGTAGATGACTGACATCTATTTGCTTATGTAATGTACAATTAATTTTCCTTGTTTATGTCCCAAGAGAATGGGAAAAATTCCTGATTGATTCCTTGTATGAAGTTTTAGTTTAAGATTGTTTTATTTGACAAAAAATTTTGCAGTGTGTTGTTGATTCAAACACAGTGAACACTGCTCACCTTTAGACCGGGTCAGGTTACATAGCGCCCACGTCGCCCACAGTTGGGCCTCTGGTGTCTCATACTCCACAATCAGCTCCAGGATTGGTCGCAGAGATCTGCCATTCAAAGTTATATTTTACAATAATGTAACCGGGATAATATTTTCAATATACAATTCATATGTTATTTTTATTAAGATATGCAAGGCGCTGCGAGTCCTAGTACTAATTCATACTGTATTGTAAATGTAAACTCCCAGCCCCTAGATTGGGGTTTCATATTTTACATTACAGACTTATAATACTAAGAACCCCTAGATTGAAGTTTCATATTTTACATAACAGGCTTATAATATTGAGAACCCCTGGATTGGAGTTTCATATTTTACATTACAGACTTATAATGCTAAGAACCCCTAGATTGGAGTTTCATATTTTACATAACAGACTTATAATACTAAGAACCCCTAGATTGAAGTTTCATATTTTACATAACAGACTTATAATATTGAGAACCCCTGGATTGGAGTTTCATATTTTACATTACAGACTTATAATATTGAGAACCCCTAGATTGGAGTTTCATATTTTACATAACAGACTTATAATATTGAGAACCCCTAGATTGAAGTTTCATATTTTACATAACAGACTTATAATATTGAGAACCCCTGGATTGGAGTTTCATATTTTACATTACAGACTTATAATATTGAGAACCCCTAGATTGGAGTTTCATATTTAACATTACAGACTTATAATACTAAGAACCACTAGATTGGAGTTTCATATTTTACATTACAGACTTATAATATTGAGAACCCCTAGATTGGAGTTTCAAATTTTACATTACAGACTTTTAATATTGAGAACCCCTAGATTGGAGTTTCATATTTTACATTACAGACTTTTAATATTGAGAACCCCTATATTGGAGTTTCATATTTTACATTACAGACTTATAATACTAAGAACCCCTAGATTGGAGTTTCATATTTTACATTACAGACTTAAAATATTGAGAACCCCTAGATTGGAGTTTCAAATTTTACATTACAGACTTATAATATTGAGAACCCCTGGATTGGAGTTTCATATTTTACATAACAGACTTATAATATTGAGAACCCCTAGATTGGAGTTTCATATTTAAATTACAGACTTATAATATTGAGAACCCCTAGATAATTGGGTTATATTCTTCATTACACACACACCGCTCCTATATGTAGGTTCAGCACTATGTACACACACACCACTCCTATATGTAGGGTCAGCTCTATGTATACACTTACCACTAAGAACCCCTAGATTGGAGTTTCATATTTTACATTACAGACTTTTAATATTGAGAACCCCTATATTGGAGTTTCATATTTTACATTACAGACTTATAATACTAAGAACCCCTAGATTGAAGTTTCATATTTTACATTACAGACTTTTAATATTGAGAACCCCTATATTGGAGTTTCATATTTTACATTACAGACTTTTAATATTGAGAACCCCTATATTGGAGTTTCATATTTTACATTACAGACTTATAATGTTGAGAACCCCTAGATTGGAGTTTCATATTTAAAATACAGACTTATAATATTGAGACCCCCTAGATAATTGGGTTATATTCTTCATGACACACACACCGCTCCTATATGTAGGTTCAGCTCTATGTACACACACACCACTCCTATATGCAGGTTCAGCACTATGTACACACACACCCCTCCTATATGTAGGTTCAGCTCTATGTATACACTTACAAATCCTATATGTAGGTTCAGCACTATGTACAAACACACCGCTCCTATATGTAGGTTCAGCTCTATGTATACACTTACAAATCCTATATGTAGGTTCAGCACTATGTGCACACGCACCACTCCTCTTATGTAGGTTCAGCACTATGTACCCACACACCACTCCTATATGTAGGTTCAGCTCTATGTATACACTTACCAATCCTATATGTAGGTTCAGCACTATGTACACACTTACCGCTCCTATATGTAGGTTCAGCACTATGTACACACACACCACTCCTATATGTAGGTTCAGCACTATGTACACACACACCACTCCTATATGTAGGTTCAGCTCTATGTATACACTTACCACTCCTATATGTAGGTTCAGCACTATGTACACACTTACCACTCCTATATGTAGGTTCAGCACTATGTACAAACACACCACTCCTATATGTAGGTTCAGCTCTATGTACACACACACCACTCCTATATGCAGGTTCAGCACTATGTACACACACACCACTCCTATATGTAGGTTCAGCTCTATGTATACACTTACCACTCCTATATGTAGGTTCAGCACTATGTACACACTTACCACTCCTATATGTAGGTTCAGCACTATGTACACACACACCACTCCTATATGTAGGTTCAGCACTATGTACACACACACCACTCCTATATGTAGGTTCAGCACTATGTACACACACACCACTCCTATATGTAGGTTCAGCACTATGTACACACACACCACTCCTATATGTAGGTTCAGCACTATGTACACACACACCACTCCTATATGTAGGTTCAGCACTATGTACACACACACCACTCCTATATGTAGGTTCAGCACTATGTACACACATACCACTCCTATATGTAGGTTCAGCACTATGTACACACATACCACTCCTATATGTAGGTTCAGCACTATGTACACACATACCACTCCTATATGTAGGTTCAGCACTATGTACACACATACCACTCCTATATGTAGGTTCAGCACTATGTACACACATACCACTCCTATATGTAGGTTCAGCACTATGTACACACATACCACTCCTATATGTAGGTTCAGCACTATGTACACACATACCACTCCTATATGTAGGTTCAGCACTATGTACACACATACCACTCCTATATGTAGGTTCAGCACTATGTACACACATACCACTCCTATATGTAGGTTCAGCACTATGTACACACATACCACTCCTATATGTAGGTTCAGCACTATGTACACACATACCACTCCTATATGTAGGTTCAGCACTATGTACACACATACCACTCCTATATGTAGGTTCAGCACTATGTACACACATACCACTCCTATATGTAGGTTCAGCACTATGTACACACATACCACTCCTATATGTAGGTTCAGCACTATGTACACACATACCACTTCTATATGTAGGTTCAGCACTATGTACACACATACCACTTCTATATGTAGGTTCAGCACTATGTACACACATACCACTTCTATATGTAGGTTCAGCACTATGTACACACATACCACTTCTATATGTAGGTTCAGCACTATGTACACACATACCACTTCTATATGTAGGTTCAGCACTATGTACACACATACCACTTCTATATGTAGGTTCAGCACTATGTACACACATACCACTTCTATATGTAGGTTCAGCACTATGTACACACATACCACTTCTATATGTAGGTTCAGCACTATGTACACACATACCACTTCTATATGTAGGTTCAGCACTATGTACACACATACCACTTCTATATGTAGGTTCAGCACTATGTACACACATACCACTTCTATATGTAGGTTCAGCACTATGTACACACATACCACTTCTATATGTAGGTTCAGCACTATGTACACACATACCACTTCTATATGTAGGTTCAGCACTATGTACACACATACCACTTCTATATGTAGGTTCAGCACTATGTACACACATACCACTTCTATATGTAGGTTCAGCACTATGTACACACATACCACTTCTATATGTAGGTTCAGCACTATGTACACACATACCACTTCTATATGTAGGTTCAGCACTATGTACACACATACCACTTCTATATGTAGGTTCAGCACTATGTACACACATACCACTTCTATATGTAGGTTCAGCACTATGTACACACATACCACTTCTATATGTAGGTTCAGCACTATGTACACACATACCACTTCTATATGTAGGTTCAGCACTATGTACACACATACCACTTCTATATGTAGGTTCAGCACTATGTACACACATACCACTTCTATATGTAGGTTCAGCACTATGTACACACATACCACTTCTATATGTAGGTTCAGCACTATGTACACACATACCACTTCTATATGTAGGTTCAGCACTATGTACACACATACCACTTCTATATGTAGGTTCAGCACTATGTACACACATACCACTCCTATATGTAGGTTCAGCACTATGTACACACACACCACTCCTCTAATGTAGGTTCAGCACTATGTACACACACACCACTCCTATATGTAGGTTCAGCACTATGTACACACATACCACTCCTATATGTAGGTTCAGCACTATGTACACACATACCACTCCTATATGTAGGTTCAGCACTATGTACACACTTACCACTCCTATATGTAGGTTCAGCACTATGTACACACATACCACTCCTATAATTACCAGTTTAGACAAATGAAACAACTGACCGGTACTTAATCTTCATTTTGGAGTCAAGGTCCCATCGGTTCACTGTGTCCACTATTTTGACCAATACATCACTGCGTGCTGGTGTGTTTATCGTCCAGGTTCTTGCTGGATCAATTACCATTGTTGCCATGACAGATGTTGCGTGGTAACTCACACCATCTTTGTCCAACTGAGAGTCCATTAAATCACTGAAAATAACAACAGTTCATGTTATAATCTACACTGATGATTGGGTAGAGTGTAGATTTGGTCAGTGAGTGGTCAGTTAGACAAACCTGGAATTCATAGAACTTTTATGGTAAGTTTTTAACAACGTTTAACAACAAAATACATTTCCTTTTGAGTGAACTTTTAAATTGGAAATACACTCCTGTAAATTTTCTCTCTAGGTGAGTTTTCTTTAAATCTTATTTTACTTCAGTAAAAGATGTGCATTGATTAGCTTGCCTCACAAGCGTCTGCTGTAGGGAATTTCCCTTTTGCTCAGCGGTAAAGCATCGAGCTGGAGACCCAAGGGTCGCGGGTTAAGACCCCAGCGACGGCAATATCTTTATCACTATTCCTCGACCTACTACAAACTGGTGCCGTTGACCCTTCCCTTTCAAGGTAGGAGAACCCTTGGTGGGGAGTCAAAGAACCTGGGTTGATGATTGAACAAGAGTACCGCGGGGCGGAACAATATACGACCATCGAATGCCATAGTGTTATATACTTTCTTCCATTGAAATAAGATCTGCATCATTCTAAGAGTGGTAAGCTGACATGCTATAAACAAGAGGCCCAAGGGCCTTAGTGGTCACCTGAGTTATATCATAGGTACTGGTAGCTTTATTTTATTGTTTAGATGTGATGTGGAAATCAGCATGTAAACTAAGTGAAATACAATACTTGTCATGTCATCAAAGGATAAGAATTTGAAAATATTTGTAAATGTTCCCTTTGGGGCCCCGCTCTAACCCCTGGGGATGGGGCAGGAATTCCAAGTTTACAATGTGATACCGTCATCCACCAAAGAAAATTCTCACCAAGTAAGAATAATTTCCAACAGAAAATTGTCAAAATATACCCAAAAGTGTTGTTTCCCTATATAAACTATAGTAAACTTTACCCCCTCCCCAAGGGAGAACGGATAGCTCGGGGGTCCTGAAATTTACAATTTAAATAAAGCCCCTGATGATCTTTCCATCCATGCAGAGAAAATGACTGTAATACCTCTGAGTCTGGAGAAGAAGATTTTTGAAATATTGGTTAATTTTCCCTTTTGGGCCCCGCCCTGGCCCCTAGGGTTGGGGTAGGAATCCCAATTTTACAATTTAAAACCATCTTCCTCCTCCAAGGATGATTCTGACCAAGTAAAAATAATTTCCAACAGAAAATTGTCAAAATATACCCAAAAGTGTTGTTTCCCTATATAAACTATAGTAAACTTTACCCCCTCCCCAAGGGAGAACGGATAGCTCGGGGGTCCTGAAATTTACAATTTAAATAAAGCCCCTGATGATCTTTCCATCCATGCAGAGAAAATGACTGTAATACCTCTGAGTCTGAGGAAGAATATTTTTGAAATATTGGTTAATTTTCCCTTTTGGGCCCCGCCCTGGCCCCTAGGGTTGGGGTAGGAATCAAATCAAATCAAATACTGAAATGAACAAAGGGCAATCGATTTTGGAAACATTGCCTAATCAAAATTCTTTTAAGGGAGAATCATGATTATAATGTATACCAAGTTTCAAAGAGATCGGTCGATAAATGGAGGAGGAGATTGCCGGACAAACAAAAGTTAACGCAGGACGGACGGACAACCCCATACCATAATACTTCCGTCAAATTTGACGGGCGTATAAAAAGGGGGAAATAGTGTAAAATATGTGCATTGATTAGGTTGCCTTACAAGCGTCAGCTGTAGGGAATTTCCCTTTAGCTCAGCAGTAGAGCATCGGGTTGGAGAGCCAAGGGTCGCAGGTTCGAGCTCCAGCGAGGGTAATATCACTATTCCTCATCCTACTACACTTCAAATGAATCAGACATTAGCAAGCAATAATTCTACGGCCCAGCTATTCAATAACATTTATTTCATACTTGAAAATGTTTTTCACATAGGCGGGATCCTATACACTTGAACGGTCCTCAAAAACTTATTTAGACTGGTAATCTGGTGGATATTGATTTCTAAATATAGCCTATATGAAAATTCCCCACAACCTGTTGTAGCGCATACACAGTTAGACCAGCGCATGATCTGTCCGACAACAACAGAATACCATACCTTCAATAAATCTATGTATATATACAAACCAACACACCAGGGTTTGTGTCTGATACAGGTTGTCAGTGATGTTGGTAGCCATATTAAATCTCTGTATACATACCAACACACCAGGGCTTGTGTCTGATACAGGTTGTCAGTGATGTTGGTAGCCATATTAAATCTCTGTATACATACCAACACACCAGGGTTTGTGTCT